TTAGAAAAAGTGTGTGGTTTGCATAAGGTTGCAACCTTAAACAATCCAATTAAGGTGTACCTCTAAATTTTATAACAAATGTAATTTGATATAAAAAATTATTAGGATGACTTGAAAATCTATTTTCATATTTGATTATAAAATTTTAAACTTTAAAAGTAGTTCAAATCAAGTAGATCTATAAACAAATAAAAATCTTGAAAATGGACGGTCTAAATAATGTGTTGCAAGATACACTATTTCGCATACTCGAAATCTTTTTTTCTTTTTATATTCTTACATTTTGAGGTCAAGATGATCAATTAGATGGTTTTCCAACATCCAAACAACCTTTTATGATGAATTTTTTATGTGCACCTTTAATTCTACATTTTAAAGTTGCAACCTTATATAAACTTTTTCCTTCATTGAACATATAAAAAGGGATTGTGCCATTCCTCCCTATTACAAGGAGGTGACATTTTGCTTGTAGCTATTAGATATCAAATTAGATGGCTTTATGTGTGTCGCATAGCTCATTTGTTCTTTTTTTTAATCTCGTCTACAATACTCTTACAAGTTACAACTATCCAATTTGAAATCTGACAGACAAAAGTGATTGTGACCACCTTGTATCAAACAAACATAGTCTATTTATATACTTTTTCGTGAAAATAAAATATAAATTAATATAGAGGTTTACAGGTGTAGATTTAGATGATCTAAAAAAACATTAAAAATCAACAAAAAAAAGATTAAAAAATGTAAAAAAAAGATTTAGGGAAAACTAGGCTGCTACCTTCCCAAAGTTAATGCAATCGTAGCCGATTCTCGGTCTAGATCAATGTTTCCTAATCTTTAAGTTTTAAAACACTGGTTCGACATGTTTCCATGTCGTCTTAGGGTATTTCTATGCCTCCCTAATCAACCTATGAAAATGCACAAATGGTTCCATGGTTTACTTATGGTGAGTTCGAGGTATGATGAATGTTAGGTTCATATGTTAAGGAGTTATTACAAATTGCGATTTAGACTTTTAGAATCACATTTGCATATCACACAATCCAGTCCCAATTATCGCCTCAGGCCCGATTCATTTTGGCTACGATGAATTATAAATAAATGGATTTGGGCCGCCTTGGCGCAAATAAAATTGTGGCCCAAGCCTAGCCTGGCCAAAGAAAGCACTGGGTCTAGCTCATGCCATGATACGTATAGAGTGCGTATGCTATATTCATGTAGGAGCACCACGTATCTAATCCCTCACTCAAAAGACCTATGTCAGAGGACTTTTCAATATGAAATTGAAATTTGCAGACTGTTTAAGAATATCTAGATGATTATTTTTAAAAAAAAAAAATTGAATTTGGAGTTTTTGGTACTTAGATCTTGAACTTTAAAAATTGGATAGTCTTGATCCAATCTTGAGACATTATTATTTTTAGTATGTTGTGACTTCATTTGGAATTTTTTTTAATGAGGTTAGTTTGGGTAGAAGAGATTTCATTTTCCAAATTTGAGATCTAAAAAGTATCCCAAGCATGTGTTCTACCCGCGGGAGTAAATGGATACTATACTCCTGCTGGAGTAGGTGGGGCGTTGCGGTGGAATGTGCTCCCTAGCATGAGAAAACACAAAACCAAAAGAAAGAAACAATGGGGAAAGTTCTTATCTGGTGTTAACATTGCCGAACATGTGGAAAAAAATAAATAAAAAGGGCGCCGCATGGGGGGTGCTCAGCGTAATATTCACGAAAATATTTATCATTTTGTAATAAAGCGTACATGTCTATACTCTCCTTAGTTAATCAATTTAATGTTGTCGGACCTAAACAACATCATGTTGTGGATAATGGGAGTGTTTGAAAACCCGCATTGGTGGGGTGAATTGTCTGAGATTTGGATCGGTCTAAATATGATACAAAAATTTGATAAACATGCAAATATAAAATTAAATTAATATAGAGGTTTATGGGATGGGAACTTAGAAAATTGTAAAAATAATAATACTATATATATAAATAAAATAATGGTTTTAGGAGGAATCAGGTTATGACTGGTACTTTCAGATAACTGATTCATTGTTATCTGATTCTCAATCTGAATCGATAATTCTTAATTGACAGCTTTTAAAACATTAGTTTAACGCATTGCAATGTCATTTTAGGGTATTTGCATTGCTACACAATCAACTATGAAAGTACACAAATGGTTGCATGGTACTTTAGGTTAGTTATAGGTATGATGTCTCTTAGGTTCATATGATAAAGAGTTATTATATATTGTAGTTTTTATAGACTGTAATTCAACAGTACTTTAAAATTTTAATTGGCGGGACAAATCGTTCACTCGTGGATTTATGTCAGATCGCTGGATTGGCAATCCAAATTGGTAGAGCAGTTCGTTGACCCACGTATTTGTGCCATCAGTTTAGGGTCATATGTTGCATAGACCATGCGCCCAATAATTTTAAGGTCCTCAGTTACTGTCGATGCCTCCATCAATGTGAGGCTACATGGTAGGGGTCAAGGAAAAACATGCCAATGAACAGCACGAGTTTTCTACGTGTTGAAATGGAATTTTCAGCGGGCGTAAGAGCCTGCTGATCTTGGAACGTCCATCTTTAAGATGGGCGTCGCTTAAAGTGCACCGGATTAAACAAGTTATGAATGGTGTGAAAAATCCTAAAAGTAATCCACATTTTAAAATTTTAAAATTTTATTTTATTTTGTATTCATCAACACCTCGGCCTAGATTTTTATATTAAAGGTAGATTTTATATTAAAAATATTAAATACAAAAATATTCAATTTCGATGATCAAATTCATCCATGATCGTATAAAAATTGAATATTTTTTACGCTTATAACCGGGTGCAAGAATCCAACACCTCAGGTTTATTAAAGTAGAAGGGAAAGCTTTCTATATGCCCCCTACACCATAGAAGTTTTATGTTCCCTTTTATCCAACCGTCCATTTTTTAATGGAGGGCTAAGATTGCCCCAATCACAATGTCACATCTCTGCACTGTTTTTTTTTTAATTTTTTTCTATAAACTGTTTTGACACCAAATTTTGGATGTTTATTCCTCTATTAAACTCGTACTAACAAAAAATATAAATAAAATATTTTCGATAAAATAAAATGACCAAAATACCCCTAAAAGTTTCAAGAGGTATTTTGGTTATTTTTTATTGAAAAATTATTGTTAATATTTTTTTATAGGTGCACCCCAACGAGATGATGGTATGTACCAAATTTCATATTTAGAAAAATTGTATTAAAAAAACTAAAAATAAAATACTTTGAGACGTTGGATCTAAGATCAAACGATAAGTGGCTCTCTTGATAAAAAATACAGTTGGATGGTAGGGAGAACATAGAACTTTTATGCTGTAGGAGGAACATATAAAACTTTCCCAAAGTAGAATACCCTTGATATGCATCTACTTTATAGCCTCAAAGAAAAAGAGAAAAGCACAAAGATTGGTGCTGGAACTCAAAAGAGATCCATATACCTTGTTGAAATGTGCAAATGCTATGCCATGATTCAACTTTGATCTTCAATATCTGTCCGTATGGAAGGTTTCTGCTTTATCTCTCGGCTCTCAAGGCTCTTAAGAATGATCTAACTGTGGAGTTTCATCCTCGATACAGATAAAAATTAAGAAAATATTCATGGGTAAGCAAGGGAGTCCACCCCAAATCCCCGCATCAATCCTCAAAGGTCTCTCCATCCTAAAAATATAAAATTTTTAGGCTGCAATTAGTGGGGCATAACCCACCGTTCAGATATTGATCCGATGGCGTTAGACATGAAACTAAGCCACCATAGGACTGAATATAGTAGTGACCTGCGGATTTTGAATTCAAAGTGCTTGAGATTGAGCATATCATGTTGGATCATCTTGACACTGCATATTGGATCATCCTCACCCTGTTTCCCAACTCATGTAAGCTCAAAGAACTCAAATCTATGGCATAAATTTGGGTCAAAGAAGGGTTTATCTTTGTGGGCTCTCTAAAGATTTTCCTTTCGTTATCATGCATCATACTTTCTTTCTTAGGATCATATTAGGAGAGATCATGTGGGACCATTTTGTGCATTAATCATTAGGAAAAAGAATTACTCAAGAATAGGTTTATATTTAAAAATTTTGAGATCCGCCTAAAAATGACTAAATGATTATTAAAGTTAGCTTTTGAGTTCTTAAACACTTGGTTCTTACCCTAGAGATGATTGCTAAAGTTAGATTTTGTGTCCTTCAACACTTACTTCATACCCTGGAACATTGCACTGTCCTTGCTCAATATTGGGGCACTAATTTTTTAGGATTTGTCTATAAAGATATCATTTATCTTGTGTACATGGAGGTCGCAAATCATTCCTACTCGTTAAATTGGATAGCTTGGGGATGAGTCGCAAAATTTGAAAATTTTTTTTGGGAGCTCTGTGTCTATTCAATGACACTCTCACAACCACCCATTTTAAAATCTAAAGGACAACAATAATTATGACCTTTACGTACAAAAGATAAAGAAAAACATTTATATAAGGTTGCAACCTTAAAATGAAGGATTACAAATGCACCTCAAAATTCTATCAGAAAAGGTTGTTTTAATGTTGAAAAACCCTCAAATTGATCATCTCGATATCGAGATGTATGAACATGAAAAAAAAAAGATTTTAAGTCTTAAAAATAGTGCATATTGCAACACACTATCTAGACCGTCAATTTTCAAGATTTTCATATGTTTATAGATCTACCTCATTTTAACCATTTTTTGAGTTTAAAAATTTATGATTAGATATAAAAATAGATTTTCAGATAATCCTAATATTTTTTTGCACTAAAATTACATGATAAAGTTGCAATCAACTGCACCCAAAGATATATGGTCTCTTTGTAGACCCATATTTTTAAGCACATAATTTTTTTTTTTTCATTTTGTTTCTTTTCCTTTTGTTTGAAGCTGGCCACTATGTTTAAGAAAGTTCCATCTCAAAAAAAGCTTGCGGCCCAAAAAATGCTCCCGCCGAGGGATCAAATAGACAGAGCGCTCCCGCGGTAGTAGCATATAATTTTTGCATCTTCGAGGAGATCCCTCTCATGAATTCGGCTCTTTGCAGCATTTCTCTATCTGAGAGTAGAACAAAAAGCCCACGAATTTTTCGAAATCTCACCTATTCTCCATCATTCAGGATTTTAACGCCTTCTCTGAAATTTAGGTTTTTCTACTCTACTACTTTTGCTGGTGAGTCTGGGAGAATTGGAATTTTCTTAGGTCTGAGCTTTCCTACAGTGACGGTAAGTTTGAAACTTGGTGATTGCTTAGTATCGTTTTTAAGGAATTTTGAAGAGAATATAGCATCTCTAATATCAATGCGGCGATATAAATTTGAAATTTTGATGGGTTATTAGAGATATTTCTGTGATAGCACTTGCTGTGTAGTATTTCGAAATTATGTATAATTTTGTTTGGGAATTATTTGGAATTTATGGGGATGAATTTTGATGTATTTCAAGGCAAATGGATGACCTGATGAATGTATTCAAATGTTTATTTATATGAATTTTTGAGATTTTAGATGGAGAATGGATTACTTCAATGTTATATATTGGCTTTATGCTGGTACTCGTGGGTTTTGTAAAAAGATATCTTGAGAATTTTTATACAGATGCGTTCACGGTGATATTTTTAGGATTTTGGTTTTTTTTTCTTCTCCCAATTTGTGGCGAGCAATTCTTTTTCTCTACCCAGTTCTCTCTCACTTAATCTCTCTCTCTCTCTCTCTCTGCACATTTCTTTACTAATTTCTATCATCTGCAATTCTCTTATAAAACCATGCTTTACTCTCTTTCCCCTTTATTAGCGTCTGTCCTTGACAAAAGCGCCATCTCTATGCGAAGACGATCAGATACCATCATCAACGGCAATATTATCTTGACATTTTTTCTTTGAGAAAACTTCCATATGGCAGCTAAAGTTGCAGTCCATTTTCTATATTTTTCAGTGTTTTTCTTTTTTTCTTTTTCCCTTATCACAACCTCAACTATAACTGTGAATCTATCTCTGTCTGATACCCCATGTTCCCGTTTTTGGAAAACCATTTTTGGTTTTTGGCTCTCCGTGGCTGTGAACATCTCTTTGTCTTTTTCCTCTTTTTTTTTACTGAAATTTTTTCGTCAAAAAAATCATCCTAACTCAAATCTTTGTCAAAATTTTCCACCTACAATTTGGTTTTCTTAAAGTTCTCTCTCTCTAAAACACGTACTAAAACGAGAAGAACCGAGAAAGATTTGTACTCTGTTTCTCTCTCTCTCTCTTATATATATATATAGATAGATAGCCTTTGGTTCTTCTTTGTTCTGCGATAGATGGGTTTTTATTTGTGGAATAGCAATGTATAAATTGATTGCTTCTTGTCAGTTTGTATAGCTTTACCTTAAATATTATACATCTTGTGCTATTCATTTTGGGAGAGAGTACTCTACTTTGCTTTATGATATCCGATGTGGGTCTGGGGTTGTTGGGATCTCATGTGCCAGTTAAAAGGTTGGGTTAGTTGTGGGTAATGAGAGATTGGCATAGGTATTTGTTGTGAATCTCAAAAGATCACTGAGGTTCTTGGGTTTAACAATATTGGGAACTTGTAGACCTTTAATTGTAGAATATGAGGCATTGTAGTTTATTTGACTTTTATTACCTTTCTAATTTTTTTTTGGGTCGGATTTCTAGTCTTTTATGCTAGGGTGAAGAAAATGTAGTTTTTTGTGTAGATTTTTTTTTGAGAATGTTAACTTTAGTTTTTGGTGTGGAATTCAAAAGATATCCTGATGTTTTGAGTTTTTGCTCATGCAATCGATGATGAATCTTGGGTTTTTGGGTGTCATAGAAGTCATTTGAGTTTCATTTTCCCATAATTGCAACCTTGGAATTTGATTACTTGGTGCAATGTAAATTTGATATTTGGTTATGAATTTGATTGGTTGGGGCCATGGGAATATGATATTTGGGTTCAATGATATTATAAAACAGTAAACGGATACTTAGTGAAGAAGTTGGAGGATTATTTGTTTTTCACTGCTACTGGTTATGTGGCACAAAATGGTTTTGGAAACCTTGCAGAATATATTAAGAGATTGAGTTTGGTGGCTTATTGTATGCATTTTTTTCTTGAGTTTTTTGTCACTTTCTTTTTTATGCAGAATATGGAAGATGATTTACGGTTTAATGGTCTTGAAGATAGTTCACTGTTTAATGTTCTTTTATTGTATAAATTGAAGTGGGTTGTGGTTTAGGTGCCTCATAGTTGGAAAATTTTGCTTTGTTTTCATTGTTCCCAGTTAGTGGCCTTTTCATGATTGATATGCTTCTGCTTGCTATTGTTGATGTTTGGTCTAATAATGTGGTGACTTATTGAAATCTCTCATATACCAACATTTTTTTTTTGGCTTATTTCTCTCTAGTTGCCTTTATTTCTCATACTTCTTTTATGAACATATTCTCTCCATACTCTCAAACAATGAAGTGTTGTTCAGTGATCAAGATTATTGACGATCGTCAAAGATTTGATTGGACTGGCAATTTTTGAAAAGCATGCAATTGTGAATTTCTTAATCTTGAGTTTAGTGGTTAACATTTTAACATTGTAGTTATTTTGTCTCCTACCTAAAGAAAATGACCAGAGAGGCACTTGTGTGTGTATGCGCATGTATATATATATATATATATATATATATATATATATATAGAGAGAGAGAGAGAGAGAGAGAGAGAGAGAGAGAGAGAGAGAGAGAGAGAGAGGAGGAGGAGGGAGGGAGGGAGGGAGGGTAGGTAGGTAGGTAGGTAGTAGAGAGAGAGAGAGAGGAGGAGGAGGAGGAGGTAGGTAGGTAGGGTAGG